TTAGTCAGCAGAGCCTAGGCCGGTGGGCCGCCCCCCTCTTCCTCTGCCTTCCCTGGGGCCCTCCTTCTCTTCCCCTCTCCTCTCCTCTTCCTTCCCCCTCTCCCTTCCCCTCTTCCCTACCCTCTCTCCCTCCTCCCCCCTCTTCCCTCCTCCCCTCCCTCTCTCCCTCCCCCCTCTCCCTCTCTCTCCCTCTCTCCCCCTCCTTCCCTCTTTTTCCTCCCCGTCTTTCCTCTCTCTCCCCTCCCCTTTTAGGGGACACCCTGCTGAAGGGGCAGTACCAGTCTTTATGATCCTCAATCCTCGGTTCAGAGGCCAGGCATAGGGAACCGTTGCATGTGTGACGAGTCTTGGCGAGCTGCCAAGAGGCCCTGAGCGCCCCCGGACTGAGTGCTAACTTGGGGTTTCCTTCAAGAGGACCCTGTTGCTTCCATGAGCTTCTCTGAAACCGCTGCCGGCCCCTGTGGCATGGGCTCCGTCCTCGTCCCGGTCAGGCCCGCAGCCCCACTGCCTGCCCCGCTCTGTGGTCCCAGCCAGGGTTCCGAGCCACAGAGTGCCCCACAGGGGTGCTGACCCCCAGGGTCCCCTGCCGGCCCTGAGACCTGTCCCCCAGTGACCGGTCGTCAGAGTGAGCCCTGCCTGGGAGCGGGCGCTCTGCGCTCGGAGGCGGAGAGTGTAGACATGGAAGACCGCCTGTTGTCTTTTCCCAGCAGCTCCCAGAGCCAGCGGGTGGGGGTGGGGCAGGGACGGAGAGGACTGGGGGGTGGGGGAGGAGAGGAGAGGAGACCTGTCCCTGGAGTTCTCCCCCTAGGGCGACCCCATGAGGGGTGCCTGTGGGAGACGGTGGGGTGGGGGGAGGTGGGCACTGACCTCTGTACCTTCGGTTGGATGCGTCCCCTAGCCCTAAGGCCAGTCCCCTGCCGCCCACGCCCACAGCTCGCCTGGTTCTCGCGTCACTGATTCCACTTGTCAGAGCGAAGGGGAAGACGTGGTGCAGATAAGCAGGACTTACACGCAAGGAGGGTGGTCTCCGGGCCCACAGGCCGGGCAGGTGGGGACACGCCTCGGGCCTCGCACGGAGGTCAGCGTCTCCTTTCAGTCCAAGCGTCTTATGACCTTGGAGAGGTCACTTCCTGGATGAGAAATCTGAGGCACAAAAAACCTAAGTGGCCAGTCCCTCTGCCCAGCCCAGGCCACCCGGGCTCCCACCACAGCTGCCCAGCTGTGTGTCTGTGGCTGGGAGACAGCCCCGATGGGGGAGGAGAAGGCCGAGGGCGAGGATGCCCCGGGGCAGCTGTGGGAGAGGAGAGCAGGGCAATGGAGCCCGTCCCCAGGAGCCCTGCAGACCTGCGCCCCCTCGCTGAGCGCCCACTCTGCTGGAGGAGCCAGGGCGGGTGGCGGATTCCAGCCTGGGACATGACGGGGCGCAGGAACCCTGCAGGGCCTGCTGACCAACCCGCCAGGCAGTGCTGGGGCGCCATCATCCCTCAGACATGGGCACAGAGATGCCCCTGAGAGACGGGCAGAGATGCAGGAAGAGGAGCAGCGGGCCATGTTCAGGGAGTCAGCTGGGCTGGCCCCGCACAGGGGACACTGCGGGAAGGTGGCCGGTGGCCAGTGGTGTCTGCACCTCACAGCCCTTGTTACAAAGGGAGGCGTCCCTGTCGGAGTAGCCTCACCTGCAGACACCACCTCACTGAGGGCCCCATTGCCAGCTGGGACAGACGACGTCGGGACCGGCTAAGAGCACAGACAGGCGGGCTGCACCGACCCGGGGCCGGGTGCAGGGCAGGAGGAACGGGAGCACGTGGACAGTGCATTCGCTCGGACGCTGCTCCACGTGGAACTGGTTTTGCTGACTGGTTGTTAAGAGAACGTCCTCGTTTTCAGGAAGTAAAACGGTGGCTGGGCAAAAAGGGTGGCGTGTCCCCAGCTCCCCCTGCATTGAGCACAGGCCGCTGCCACCTGGGCTGCTGCCTGCAGCTTCTCTAAGCCAGGCCCTCCGGCCCCAGCCGACCTCAGGGAGCCCAGGTCACACCCCTCCCAGGTCTCTGGTGGCCCGGCCCACAGCGGGGCGGCTGGTGGGCTGATTGCGAGGGTCAGAGGGAGGATGACCTGGCTGCCCAGCAGCACCTTCGCCTGCTGTTGGCTCCACCCTGTCCCGAAAACCCGTAAACCAGGCAGCACCCGGAGGGACGCACGGGTCCACTGGGGGGCAGTGTCTGCTGTCCAACCAGCGCTGACTCCGCTGGAGGCTGGGACTGCAGGAGGGTTGAATCTGCAGTGGATCCCCGTCCTCTGCACCGGGCGGGTCTCACTCAGCCCAGGCCTTGGCCTCCAGCGTTCTCCTCTGTGGACTGGGGCATCGTGGGGACAGCTCAGCTGCTGCCCAGCTGCCTTCGGGGCCTGGGGCTGGCAGCATGGGGCCACAAGTTCCGAAGTTCCTGGGGGTTCTGGTCATTGTTAGCTTGGAATCACTATCGTGGGGAGGAGCCTTGGAGTGATCTACATAACGTATCTTACCAGGAGCCGAGCCCCAGGGGGCCAGGTGGGGTCCCTGCTGCCGGACCCCTCACTGCGCAGCCCCAGGGACTAGAGCGCAGCCCGGCAGCCACCTCACTCGTGCTGAGGGCGCCGGGGGGTGTCTTCTCCTACGGCTCTCATGCTCCAAGGTCTGGGAATCTGGTACAGGACTGCTCTCTCCTCACTTTAACACAGGAGTCGGACGCTGCTGGCCAAGCTCCCACCCCGACCGGCCGCCCAGACCCTGCTGGGAGGCTATGGGTCAGCCCCTCGGGGGCCTCTGTGCATGAGCCACGCTCCTGCCTCCAGGACCCCATGCGTGTCCTGCGTCCCTGAGAAAGCAGAGCAGGCACACAGGGGAGACAGGCCCAGTCTGTCCGGGGCTCAGGGCCATGGACCTCTGCCTCTGTAGCCTGGGGCACAGGCCAGGCACCATGGGCAGTCACTGCGGCTCCCGGGCACGGAGGGCACGGCGCCTGCCAGGCCTGGAAGGCGCACCAGGAAAAGGAGCCAGGACAGGGCGTGCTGGCCTCTGCCGGGGACGCGGAGCACTTCCTTGTGTCCACGGCAGATCGTGTGGCCGGGACGGGCACACTGCGGCTTTTCAGAGGTGTCAGAAGCAGCCAGCCAAGTAGGCCACCTGTTTCCGTCGGGCCTTGGGCACCACTGGCCTCTCGGGCCCCCCCTGAAACAGGCAGCCCCCCCGCTCTTGTTTTGCAGGCCCCCCTGGGAGAACCTGTCTGTGCAGGAACCTTGGGTGGGTCAGGTGGGGAGACGGTCCTCAGTGGGGTTAGGACTGGGGGCTCAGACCTGGAGTGTGGGCCCCCATGGCCTCTGCTTTCTCTCTGCATCGTTGTCGAGAGGAGCCTGCGGGCAGGTGGAGCACGTGGCTGAGCCTGGAGCCGGGGCAGGAGAGGGGCGGCCACTAGTCCAGCAGAGGGCAAAGCGCAGGGTGGGCGCCGGCGAAGGAGGTGGGCTGTGCAGCCACCACTGGGCCCCTCCTGCCCTTCTATGCCAGGTGGGCAGCAGGCACCCAGGCTGTGGCCATGGCACACACACGGGGCCCATCAGAGGCACAGCCCTCATGGGTCCTGGGGCACCCTGGGAGGCGGGGGTGGGTGCCGGCTGGCTCCTCCTCGTCCTCACTGGGAGGGCACTCTTTGGGTGGGGGGACAGGCCCCGGGGTCGGGGCTGGGAAGGAACTGGGTGCAGAGGAACCGGATCCCGCCGTGAGGGGCGTCTCCATCTCTGCTGACACTGCCCAGGGCCTCTCTTTGGAAGGGCGTCTGTCCCCAGGGATGTCGGGTCTGAGACAGGTGACACAGCCATCGCATCCCCCTCCCCCATTGGGGGGCTTATCTTGTGGGCTGACTGCTATGTGGGTTTCATTCACAGGACCCAGCAGCTGGGGGACCCGCAGGGACCGAGGGCCCAGGGACGCAGCCCCCACAGGCCCTGTCTGTGCAGCAGCTCCAGAGGAAGCTGAAGGAGGCGGCCCGGGTGGTCCTCCGCCTGCGGCGGGAGAAAGAGCAGCTGCTGGAGCTGGGGAACAGGCTCCGTGCCCAGCTGGGCCAGCCTGCAGGTGAGCCAGGGTGCGATGGGCACAATGCTCTGGGCCCGGGGAGGCCAGGCGCGGGGCCAGGAGGGAGAGCAGAGCCCGTGTCCGGATCTCAAGGGAGGTCAGGAGCCTGCTCACGGGCCGTGTGTGAGGAGACACCGCCGGTCCTTGGAGCTGCTGCACTTTGTGCAGCCTGGTGAGCAGCAGAGGCACCCACCCACCCACCATCCGTCTACCCACCCATTCATCCATTTATCTATCCATGCATCCACCTACCCATCCACTCATCCATCTATCCATCCCCTCATCCATCCATCCACCCACCCATCCATCTGCCCATCCACCCTCCCATCCACCATCCATCATCCACCATCCATCGTCCACCCACCCATCCACTCATCGATTTATCTATTCATCCACCCACACACCCATCTATCTGCCCATCTGCTGGAAGCCGGTCCATCCTCACCCTCCCATCTATCCATCCGTCCGTCCACCATCCATTCACCCATCTACCCACCCATCCACCTATCCATCCATCCACCATCCAGTCATCCATCCATCCACCCATCACCCACCTCCTTGTTGGGGAGGGAAATTTCCCCCACCCTTTTAATTTCTGAACGTTTAAGAATTAAATTGACAGCAAGACAGATTAACCAAGACAAAGAAACCCACAGTTTGTGGGGAATGGGCGAGACAAAGAAACAGGCTGGTGCCCCATGAGTGAAGACCCTGCGTTCGCTCACACAGCCCAGGGGCGAGTCCCTGTCTCTGTGATCAGGAGACTCAATCCTGCTTCCGGCACAGGGCGGGCGAGTGTCCTTTCTGCACCAGCTGTTTCTAGACTCACTAATTCCAAGAGTGCAGAGCAGCATGTTTGGTAAATCATAAATTCCTCACAATTAGTGTTAAGAGCTGGAATCGGATGTCTATAGGTGTGTGGGGGGGAACTTTTGCTGGATGAAATTTTCTCTTTACAATCACCTCTATTTTTGATGAAGATAATGATAGTAAAACTGATGGGTTCATAAAGGAAGGCTCGTCTTATTAAACTTGCCTGGCTGTTCACATCAGAGCGAGAGCAGCGACCGGCTGGCTCGGGCCTGTGTTGCCGGGACTTCTTGGCGAGAGAGCCCAGCCACGGACTTGCCCTCGGCTGCGCCTGTGGTCCCTGTAGACTGGGGTGATCCTCTTTTCCCAGGGCCCCCCAAAAGCTTGAGGTTCCTGCACCTGCTGGGAACGTACCTTCCTCACCCACCTGGGGAAGCGGGAGCCCTGCAGGCAGGGCGCCCAGGGCTGTGGCTCCATGGAGCCGGCCTTCCTTCGTCTAAAGCCGCCGGCCCTGCTGAGCCCGCGTGTTCGCAGCCTGGCGCTCCTCTCAGCCTTGGGCCTGCTGCCTGGGAAGGCCGCGCTCGCTGCGTTTCTGAGTTCTGGAGCCATCGGGTGGGAGAGGAGACAAGCGCTTCATCTGTGTCCACAAGAGTGTGGATTCACCAATTGTTCTAAGTCCTGGGAAGCTTACGAGAAAAAAATTCCCTTAATTATGGGAAAACAAAATATTTTTAAAAATCAGTGGTATTTCAAACAAAAAAGTTATAAAATTATCATCTTTGTGGGTTCGGGTAGTCCCACACGGTTCATCCTGTGGATCCCGACCTCCTCGAGCAGCGTACAAGTTTACAGGCATCAGCACCGCGTCTCCG